GGATAGAGAGGTGGAACCTGAAGTCAGGAAGACCAGCCTTTTCAAATCCTGAGACTGAGAGAGAGATTAGGTGACTTGCTTAGGTATCAGAGCTGGGACTTGAATTCCATGTCTCCCAGACTCCAAAGTCAGTGCTCTTTCTGCTAATCACAGGGATTACTGGAAGGGTAGCCTTACTCATAAGGGTAGCCTTATCCCCCACCAAGGGGAATGTGGAAGTGTAGATAAATATTGTCCTGGGGGAAGGGAAGAGAGAGAGAGAGAATTGGAGAGAGAAAAGTAGGTGGCTGGGAGATACCAAGTGGAAGGAGGTTGAGACTTAAGAGTATAATGGCCTGGAAAGATCCCATGGAGAAGGGACCTGAGACTCCATCTAATCCAATCCTCTCATGTCACAAAGGAGAAAACTGAGACAGGGAAATGACTTGGCCAAGGTCACGTGGGCTATAAGAAGAGTCAGGATTCAAACGCAAATCTTTTGACAGTATTAAGAGAGCCCTCTTTATACTGTACCACACTGTTTCCTCAAATTAGGAGCAGAGCTAGGAAGATGCTCTGGGAAGTGGGAAGGGACTGCCTGGTGTTCTGTTGCTTTAAAGAAATTAATGATCTATTTATTATTGTTGCTGTTACAATAAAAATAGACATCTATAAATTTCCTTAAGGAGAACAAAGTTATCCATTCTCTCACCATAGTCAGGAGAAGGAGAAGGGGAGGGGAGGGGAGGGAGGAATGTGCTGGGTTCTGAAGGATATACAAAGTTAGAACACAGACCTTACACTGTAGTTGGGGATAGAACAGTTTCACTCATAATTATAGTATACAATCATATATACTAAGTGCATTAGAGAAGTGTAAAAAAAAGTGCAGTGTGAAGTCTAAGGGAAGAGGTGGGTGGGATAATCTAGGAATGCTTCCTGGAAGAGGTAGCAATTGAGTTAGGCTTTAAAGGATAGAGGGGAATTGAACAGGTGAAGAGAGGGAGGGAGGATATTCCAGGGCTAGGGATCATTTAATAATAGAATGTAAGGGGGTAGCTAGGTGGTGCAGTGGATAGAGCTCTGGCGTTGGAGTCAGGAGGACAAAAGTTCAAATCCAGCCTCAGACCAAACACTTGACACTTACTAGCTGTGTGACCCTGGGCAAGTCACTTAATCCCAATTGCCTTTAAAAAAAATTTAATTTGAGGCAGCTAGATGGCGAAGTAGGTAGAGCTCTGGCCTTGGAGTCAGGAGGACCTGAGTTCAAATCCAACCTCAGACACTTGACACGTACTAGCTGTGTGACCTTGGGCAAGTCACTTAACCCCGATTGCTTCACCAAAAAGGGAAAAAATAAAATAAAATAATAGGATGTAAGCTCCTTGCGGTCAGAGACACTTCTACTTTTTTAGTGTCTTTGTATCCCTAATACCTGACTCAGTTCCTTGCGTACAATATGCATTCAATAAATGTTTATTGAATTGGATTGAATTAGTAGGGTACATTTAATTAAATAACATCTGTAAAGCACTTTGCAAACCTTAAAGTGGTTATATAAATGTTTAGCTATTACTGTTATTATCATTAACCTAATTGTGGCACCTTGATGCAGCAAAAAGATTTGGAACCAGAGGACATAGATTTAAAGCAAAGCTCTTCCATTTACCTTCCCCTTTCTGGGTCTCAGTTTCCTCCTCTGTAAAAACAGAATTGGATCCAATGATCTCAAAGGTGTCTTTCACTTCAGTGTCAGTGATGCAGTGGTCTAGAGTGATTCTGGGTTCTCAAGGCTATGACAGCTGAACAAAAGCTTAAGCAGGTCTCACCATCTCGGAAAGACTTAAAGGACAGGCCTGGGAATAGAAGGCATGTTGTGTGAGGACCAGCCTGGCTAAATTCTGAAAAGCTCAGCCCCAGGAATTCTGAAAAGCCATTCTCTTTGGGTATAGAGGGCTGGGAAAGAGCAGCCAGATGAAGTATCGGATCAAGTACTGATCTAGCTGCTAGGTAAGAAATAATTCTTACAATACCCAGTGTATTTTCCACTGGAAAATCAAATAATTCCTCAGGAAAAGGAGGGAGGTAGGGAAGGAAGGAAGACAGGAAGGCATCAAGGAAGGAAGGAAGGGAGGGAGGAGGGAGGGAAAGAAGGAAGAGAATCACAGACTTCTAGATCTAAGAGAAGACAGGGAAGGAGGGAAGAAAGAAAGATAAAGAAAGAAAGAAGGAAGGAAAGAAGGGAGGGAAGGAGAAGAGAAGGAAAGAAGGAAGAGAATCACAGACTTCTAGATCTAAGAGAAGACAGGGAAGGAGGGAAGAAAGAGATAAAGAAAGAGAAGGAAGGAAAGAAGGAAGGGAGGGAGGGAATCACAGGCTCCTAGGTCTAATACAGGAAGATACCTTCAGTGCCATCTAGTTCAGCCCCCTTATTTGACACCTTAGGAAGCCGAGGCTAAGGGAAGATAAGCTACTTGCCCAAGGTTGTGCAGATAGTAAGCAGAATCATGGCTCTAGAGTTAAAAGGACCTTGGGGGACATCTAGTCCAACTCCTTCATTTTACAAAGAAAGAAAGTGAGGCCCAGAAGTTTACGTGACTTAAGTGACACAGGTTCTAAGGAAAAGAGAAATTCGAACCCAGGCCCTCTGACTCCAAACCCACTGCTCTCTCCAACGTACCAGGCTGCCCCAAGAACTTGGGCTTGAGTGTCATCTCTGCTATTGTCCTGCCTTGTGACCTCTGGCAAGCACAGGCTCTCTGGGTCCCAGTTTCCTCATCTATAAAATGGGAGGGTTGGGATTAGCTGCCCAGGTGCCTTCCAGCGCTACGCCTAAGAGCCAGACTCTGCTGTTTGGTATTCATAGCCTTTCCCAACCTGACTCCCCCCTTCTCTTCCAGGCTTGTTGCATACATATCAGTCCCCAGAGTCATGCACCCTGTGGACTCAGCTAAGCCAGCCTCTTTGCTACTCCTCACACACAACACATCTCTGTGGCTTTGCACACACTGTCCCTTGCAACTGAAAAGCAACCCTTTCTCACCTCTGTCTTTCTACTCCCTAGTACCAGTGAAAGCTTAGCTCAAGTGTCACCTACATGAGGCCTTTCCTAGTTCCCCCAGATGCTGGTGCCTCCCACCCCTCACCCCCTCCACCAACCCTGCATTGCCTTTACTTCATACATACTTGTGTATAGGTTGTCTCCCAAAATAGAATGTAAGCTCTTTGAGGGCAGGCACTGTTTCACTTTTGTCTTTTCACTTAGCCCAGTTCCTGGCACACAGTAAACACGTAATAAATGCTTGTTGGTTGATTCTGTGAGGGTGGATCGTAGGACTTAGATCATAGAACTCCTTCTTTACAGGATTGTTGTGAGGGCTGGGTTTTGAACACCTTAAAGCTGCTAGATGTGAGTGGTCAGAGCCTGAGGATGATGAGATTTGTTGGCATGGGAACTCCCTCCATCCTAAATGTGCAACCAGGCTATAATTTATTGATCTGCTAAAGCCTTGGGAGCTGCCTGAGGCACATGGAGAGATGAAGTCATTTGCTGTCAATCCTACAGGGTCAAAAGTCAGGGTTTAAAGTTGAAGCCCAGCACTTCATCTCCTATTTCACAGTGTTGATGCTAATTGTTATTAGTAGACACTTATGAGGATGACAAACCTAGAGGGGCTTTCCCAGGGCAAGTAGTAAGTATCCCAGATGGGTAAGATTTGAACCCAGACTCCAAAGACTTTGTCCTTTTCACTAGACAGGGCTGCTTTCTCAAATGTTTATTGAAACTCCTAGGACAGCAAGTGTCACATAGGATCACAGGCTGCAAACTGGAAGAGCCCTTAAGACCCATCCACTTTATCCACCTCACTTTACAAAACAGGGAACGGAGGTGACTCCCAAGGATAAGTCAAGATCCTGTAGAAAAATCCAGATTTTGCTCTGCTTTCTGGGGCTTCAGCCCTTCCTTATAGTGGGAGCTTCACAGATCTGGGGCTGGAAGGGAAGTCAGAGGACATGAAGCCCACCCTTCCTATTTTACAGATGAGGAAACTGGGGCTGGACTGCATAGGTCACACAGCTATTAAGTTAACTCTATAGAAAGGGGTGTCTCCATCTTTTTTTGTGTGTCCTGGACCCCTTTGGCAGCCGACTGTTGAAACCCATGAACCCCTTCTCAGAATCATGTTTTGAAATGCTCAAGATAAAATACATATTATTACAAAGGAAACCAATTATATTGAAATAGTTATCAAAATATTTTCAAAAACAAGTTCAGAAATCTCAAATGATCACAAATCGAGAGCAAGAGGACACCTCCGAGACTATCCAACCCAACTGTTTTACTGATAGATGAGAAAAGTAAGGTCCAAGGAGGGGACGTGACTTCCCCACGACGTGTCAGCAGTAGTGGTAGTGGTAGTGGTAGTGGTAGTGGTAGTGGTAGTGGTAGTGGTAGTGGTAGCGGTTGTAGTAGCAGCTGCTAGCATTTACATAGCGCTTTAAGATTTGCACAGCGCTTTACGTATATTATCTCATCCTTATAACAACCCTGGGAAGCGAGTGCTATCTTTACCCCCATTTTACAGACGAGGAAACTGAGGAAGAAGAAAAAATTACTTGCCCAAAGTCACGCAGCTAGGAAGAGAGACAGACTTTAAGCTCAGGGCCTCTGACTCCAGGGCCAGTGCTCATTCAACTGTACCATTGCTCTCAGCTTAATAAATATTTTAAGCAACAAGCTTACTAAATGCATGTTGCATGGGTAGATGAAAGGAAGAATGGAGGGATGGCTGGGTGGATGAATGAACGGAAGACTGGAGGGATGGATGAATGAACGGAAGAATGGGCGGATGGGGGGATGGCTGGATGGATGATGCAAGGAACAGCCGATAGAATGCAGCAATGCTGGAGGTGGGGGAGCTGACGGAAAGGAGGGGTGCGTGGGGAAGCCCGGGGCCCCGGGTCGGTAAGTAACCCGGAGGGCGCCGCTTCAGCTCTCCCTCCCCGTCCCGTCCCCGCAGAGGAGGCGTCGCGGCAGCTGGAGGCCAAGTGCCGGGCGCTGGAGGAGCAGCTGGCGGCGCGGGAGCGAGGCAACGGCGAGCTGCGGCGGGAGCTGCGGCAGCGCGACGCGCTCGTGTGGGCGCTGCGCTCTAGCCTGCGCAGCAAGGAACGCCGCTTCCTGGAGGAGCTGCGACGCCGCAGTCACCGCGCCACCGTGCTGGGCACCGAGCTGCAGAAGCAGAGCGAGGCGGCCGCCTACCTGGCCTTTCAGCTGCACGCTGCCCGGCAGAAGCTGCACGGGGCGCCCCGTGCGGCCCCAGGCTCCGGCCCGGCTGCCGTCGAGGGCGCTGCAGCCTCTGCCGGTGCAGCGGCCGCCGCCCCCGCGGGAGGAGGCCGGGACCGCGCCCCGCCGCCTGCCGACGGGAGGTCCAGGAAACGCGGACCCCGCGCCCGCCGCCCACCGCGCCCGCCTTTGTCGCTGCTCCCCGAGCCGTGCGCCCTGGGCAGCGCCAGGGACTGGGCTGCCTGGGAGCTGGGCTGCAGGCTGGACGAGGCCGAGCCTGAGCCCATGCCCGACCCCGCCCTCTTCCTCAACGCCCGCAGACCTCCGCGGCCCAAGACCCGGGACAACGCTCCCCCAACCTGCGCCAGCCCCCGCAAGCCTCCGCCCCGGGAGCCCCCAGATGCCGCTGCGGCCGCCGCTGTCCCCGCCCAGGCCCGATCCTGCAAGAGTCCGCCCGGGAGGCGGCCGGCCGCCCCCAGCCCAGACAGCACGGTCGACCTAGAGTAGGGAGGAGCCGGGGGGCAGGGGTAGAGCGAGATGGGACGGGACCCTTCCACCCCGGGGCGGACAGAGGGGCCTTGGCGGAGCTCACGTCACCCTGTAGGCCGAAAACTAGAGCCCTGGAACGGGACTGTCCAGGGAGAACGGGCACACGGGAAGCGCTTCGGGCGCCCTGCTCGGGTCCGGGGAAGTCAGAGAAGAGTCTGGGCCAAGTAGAGGCTGGAAATGGGGGGCCCTCTACCTGAGTAGGGGGGAGATGATGGAGGGACCAGCTTTCCTCCACCCCACCCATCATTTATATTAACAGACTTCTCTGAAGCTTGGCCACTCACCCCCACCGCTCACAAAGATACCCCTTTGCCCTTTGGGAAGGAAACAACCAGGTCCCTCCTTGAAAGAAGGGGAGGGGAACCATGGGGAGAGTAGTTGCACATTTTTGTAAAAAGGAGATTATTTATCTATATTATCTTACACATCCCCCTTCCCAGTGAGAGGGTTGGAGGGAGAAGGTCGCAGGGAGTAAGTTGACAATCTTGGGGGACGGGGGAGGGAAAGGAGAAAGGAAGGGTTTTCTAGGACTTTAGAGGGAGGGAGAAGGCTGGTGGCCAGAGAAAAGAGGGCAAATCCTGCTGCCTCTGGTTCTCCCTAAGACCTTGGAGCCGCCCTCTCCTGCGCCCTCTCCGCCCTGCATGGCTCCCACGCCCCTTCCGCAGAGCCGACTTCTCCGTAACCAGTCCTGCTGTCTGGCAGGAGGAGGGGCGGGGGCGGGGCGGAGGCTTCCCCAGGGAACGTGAGTATACCCCCTTTTGCATCAGCTTTGCAAGCAAGCACGGAACACTTTACCCCCCCACCCCCTCTTTCCCCCCCCACCCCAAGCTTGACATCCCTCAGGGGATCCAAGGAGAAGAATCCACATAGTTGGCGTTTTTGCTACTTGTTCTGAGCTTGTTACGCCAAAGGATGAGTGGGTGAGGTAGGGCTGAGGGGAGGGAAGGGCACCCTTTTCTGCAGCTTCTGCTGTTGCTGCTCCGGACTCTCCCTGGGGCCAGGTGGAGAAGTTCTGTTCCCAGATTGCTGTAGGAGGGGCTGGGAATGGGAACTGGGCAGGTAACTCTGTGAGTTTTTCTGGGACCTTGTTCATTGGTACTCATTCTGCTGCATCCCAATTAGCTGGCTGTGCCTGAAGGGAGGGGCTGGCTGCCGGGAAAGAGTCATTAATGTAGGTGTGGGGCTGGGGGAAGGGGTCCTCATAGTTGTATTACAACACCTCTGCGCCACAGTTTCCAACTTTAAACATCCAGGAGACACCTTCCCCCATGGGGATGCTAGATTGCCTGATGTCCATTTTGCTTAGGTAGGAATGGGGGGAGGGAGGGAGTAAAGGATGGAAAGAGAGATACTCCTCAGTGCGCACAGCCTCAGCTTCCAACCGCAGCCTCTGCCTGGGGCTTATCTTGCCCCACTCCTAGAAACAAGGAGAAATTGGAATCCAGGAACAGAGAGGGCCAAGCGCAGCCATAGGCCAGTCCTAGGCAGTGGGGGGAGAGAAATACACGGGCTCCTCCCCTGGACACTTGGTGCCTGACTGGACATGGGAGGTGGGGAGTGTGGGGGTAGGAACACATCAATGTGCACAGTGGAAACCTAGCCTATGCTGCTCAGCCATGGAATGGGTCTGCCCATTTTTGGTTCTCTGGCTGCAGGCCATGCCAGTCTGGACATATCTCCAACTATGTCACCCCAGAACCAAGAGGGACAATAATTGAATCTCTTACCAAATCCTTGGGAAGAAGATGACAGAATTGTAGGGGAAGGCCACTTTTCTGGGTTCCTCTTTCCTGCTTCCAAACAAAGGGGATCATCCCTAACCCCTGGGAATCCAATCAGGAAGAGCCCAGCCCCCTAGTAGGTCCTGCATTGAGCCCTAAGTGCCTGTGGACAGTCTTCCAGAGAGTTGGAAAAGATGATGTTTGGAGGAAGTGGGGGGGTAAGAGGGGGACCTTCATCACACATCCATAGTCCCTGGCTCACTCAACAGGTCTCAGCCCAGATTCTGTTTTCCAAATAATTTTGATTTCTCAGCCTTCTTCCCCTCATGGGAGAGGAAAGGGACACATGAGCTCAGGACCTTACTCCCATCCACCTTAGAGAACCCACTCCAGTGCTGGAGAAGTTGGGAGGTGGGCCATGGTCAAGGCAGGGAGTGGTGGGAGTGGGGAGTCTCTGGTTCAAGAGAGGAAAGGTCTGAAAAGGGCACAGGACAAGTGTCTGAAAAACCTCCTTAGGCTAAGGGATGGACAGAGGACCCTTGTTCAAGAAGGGGGAAACCAGGGGGGTGCCATATTCATACCCACTTCCCCCAAAAAGGAAGTTTTGAAAAAGGTTTCCTTCCTTCATCCAAAAGGGGGGGGGGTGTTGGGATGTGGGGGGGGGGGCGGGTAAGGCCTGGTCACTGCTGATCAGTCTTCAGAAAGGTTCTCTTGAGAGAACTGAGCTGCTCCTTCCTGGGAAGTGATGACAAATAGCAGTCCTGGGCAAGCAAACGCCCACTCTCCGTGCTCACGCACAAGCCCAGAGCAAATGTAGACAGTTGTCAACATGCAATTATCCTGGTATGACACAGTCCCTTTAGGAGTCTAACTAAGATACCCCCAACTCCCTACAGACCCTGGTAAAACACTTCACTGCGGTTGGGGTTGGACAAGAGGTGGCCTGTTGACCTTGACAGCTCCTTTCCCTGGGGCAAAGTGTTTGCTCCCCTTCCCCCAGCTTTGATAGTGAAACTGTTAAAGCCCCGAGGCTTGCAGACTTCACAGGCTGATTAAGTACAGTCCCTTTCCCTTCCCCCCTCTGTCTTCTCCAGGTTCTAGAGTCTCAGTTTTCTTTCACCTGAGTCTGACTTTCATGCTCCCTATCCCACACGCTCTCTGGGCCTCAGCCTCCCTCTGTTCCTGAGTTTTTGTGTCACTCTCTGTCCCCCTTAGGTGGGACCCGAGACAGGTGAGGGAAGGGAAAATGCAGTTTCTCCTTTGGCACCAACAAGCTGTCCTTCATCTCCCAGGACTACACACCTGGGGAGCAGGGAGTGACTTCAGTAGTTTATTTTCTTCTGCAATAGTGGGGAGGGGACTTTCCCTATCACCTAATAAAAGCCATGGCTCCCTCAGCCCTGTTTTAGTAGTCCTTCTCTCCCTCTCCCTGACTTGGCTCCTCATCCCCAGGGCACCAGGCACTTTCCAGAGAGGCTTCGCCCACAGAGAAGTCACCACCTAGCCTGGCCAGCCTCTCCCCAGGTGACCCTTCCCAGGCTTCCAAACCTGCCTCTTCCACATGCTCTCCCCCTCCTGGCAAATGAAGATAATAACAATCATTTGCAGGGTGCTTAGAGATCCCCAGATGAAAGGCTGTGGGTGCTGGGAAGCAGGGGGAAGGTCATTGTACACTCAGCTGAGGCGGGAGGAAGCAGGAGATAACGGGGAAAGGAAAGGAACTCAGTCTCCACACTGACACGCTGCCACTACCACCAGCGCTTAGTAGTGTCTGGCACATAGTAGGCACTTAATAAATGCTAATTAACTAACTGACCACTCAAATTGAAGATCCTGCCACTCCTGGGGGAGGGATGCCAAATGGATAACCATCCAGAAACTCTACCTCCAGAGACACTCTTAAGGGAACAGCTGGAACATGGGGGAGGGATCATACAATCAGAGACTTAGAGGTGGGAGGCACCTCGATTGTCAGCTAGCCCAACTCCCTCATTTTACAGAGGAGGAAACAAGTCCTGTGGATTTTGTGTGACTTACCCAGTATCACACAGGTTGTTCATTTTAGAGATAAGATTTGAACCCAGGCCTTCTAACTACAAAGCAAATGCTCTTTTCTGCTGTACAGGAACAGGGCCTGATAGGACAGGTAATAGGGTGAAAAAGGTAGACCTCCTCCTTATCCCCATCCCAGTCTACTAAATCCTGACCCCCATCTTGTGCCCTTACCCCCAACTCTCTCCTGCAGGCCCTCCTCCCTAGCCCTACCCTCTACCTCTCTGGTGATGATGGGGGTAAGGTAGGAATGGTCAGAGACAGGCTTCCTTTACTCTGCCCCCTGAGGTTGGAAGGTTTGAGGCCTGCAATCTGGCCTGTTTACAGGTGCCTTCCCCTCCTCTCAGGCATGGGTATAGCACAAGCCAGAGCTGTATGAAGCTGGCAAGGTGGGGATCTGAATAGTGCCGTCCCACTAAAGGCTCCAATGAGAGAGATCTCTTCTTGACTTGGGAGTGGGGGGTGGTGCGTCAAGGAAAGTTAAAAATTAGGGGAGCTGCAGCCCTAGGGCTACCTGCCTTTCTTCTGCCTTCCCTCTCTGCTTTTGAAATGCTGCTGCTATTTTATTATAAACTACAAATCGCACTTTGACCTGTCTCTCCTGTCCCATGGGGAGAACTAATTAATTAAATCCTACATTAGGCCAAGGTGTCAGATGGGGTGTGGGCAGGCATGTTGGCCAAGGCCACTGTGCCCTCATGTCTCCCCAGTGGGAGGGAATGCCCATTGTAAAACCTTCCCTATTCTACCTAGCCATGATGGCGCACCTAAGTTGCCTTGATCCCCACAGAAAGTATCTTTAGTACCAGATTGAAGAGGAGGGGAGTCCAACTGTGTCATTCCCCTGAGTAAGCTAGGAGATCTGGGGAGTGGGTTGGGCCATCTATCCAGGAGGAAAGGACTCTCATTTCCAATATTATGCTAAGGTGTCTCCCATCCCACCCCATCGCATCCCGTCCTCAGGCCTGGGCAGCACCCCCCCAGTCTGATTTTTTTTCAGGCTAGAAACGTGAACTCTGCCCTCTTCCTTCTTCTACCTACAGACTCCTCTTTCTGAACAGGGATCAATAGAGACAGAAACTCCCTCCCTCCTTGGGAAACATACCAGGTTCAGAAGAGCCCCCACCATCTAAAGATACAGTTCACCTAGCGTAGGGCTAGAGGGGGAGAGGATTGTGGCAATAA